CATTTAAAGAGGATTATTCCACATAGCGATGGCGTGAGTATCGTCTCCTGTCATCTAAACTCCAGTCGGCTTGTTTTCTGAGGATGCTACGGCACAAACATAAAAACAAAAGAGCCGTGGCGTCAGCGCTGATGTGCGTGAGCGTCAGACGTGCTGAGCTGTCTACAGTAGCTACAGCAGCGCTGGCACGGCTTTAACTAGAGCAGCGCAGGCCACTGGAGGCATGTTAACTCACCATTCTCACTGAGGCGGACGCCGAGGCTGGTCACCGAGTCTGTGATGGAGCGCGCAAAAGTGAAGGAGTCGTCCAGATGGTGGTGGTTGGAGGTGGAGAAGTCATCTAGCTTGATTTTCTTCACCAAAAATGAGCGGGGCATGTTTCAATGGGTAAAAACGCAGCGAGTTGAGAAAAACAATGCATGAGAAAAAACGTGGGACCGTCTGAGAAAGCACCCGATCAGAGCTGGCTTAAAGGTAATCCTTGCGGTAGCGTGGGGGGGAGACACCGGCCAAAAACATAAAATTTCAACCCAAAAAAAAAAAAAAAAATTGTCGATAAACCAGCGGTAACGAGGCGGACGGCACTGCTGCGCGGCGCACTCTGGCTCCCCTAGCTCTCCCGAGAAAAATAAAAAAAAAATTAAAAAATGAAAGCAATCCTGTTCAGCACTGGATAGCTCCTGTGATGCAGCAGGCTTAAGGGAGCAGTGAGGAAGAGAAGAGATGGAGACAGACAGGGAGAGGAGGGAGAGAGAGAGAGAGAGAGAGAGAGAGAGAGAGGAGAGAGAGAGAGACACTGTCAGACTAGCTGAGATCAGCAATCACGCCAGCCTTTATATGGGGCACAGGCAGTGGAAGATCAGGTGGTGCTACGAAATGGAGCTGCTTAGCTTTAATCCATCAAATGTCCCCGGGGACACACATCAAATTACTACTGAACCGTCTGTGCGTTTGCACACAGACATCCCCCTGCCTCCCCATCCCCGCCTTCACCTCCTCTACCCTCCCTCTTTCACCCCCCCGCTTTTGCTCCTTGCTCGGAGGAGGAGTGAAAGAAGAGGGGGGCAGACAATGGGGCTGGGGGTGAGAGCGCCCCCTGTGTCCCGTCCCCCATTGTTTCAGATGAAGTGGCACAGTTTATGTTTGCCTTGTACCGACACTGCCTCCCCTCCTGTCATCGCTGTTACCTCCAGCAGCCTCACATCTCTGCGGCCCCTCGGCCCAGTGCACTGTACATACCTACAAACACACACACACACACACACACACACACACACACTGACATACAGGGCAGAAAGGATTCCTTTTTTTTTTTTTTTTTTTTTTTGTTGGACCTTGTTTTTGAAGGAAGTGAACCGGCAACATGTGAGGCAGAGCTGCTCTCTCTCTCTCTCTACCACAGCACAGATGTGTGTGCTGCCATGCGTGGCACTGAGTTATCTGATTAATTAATTACATCTTTTTTGATTAGGGTGAAATCCAGAATCCGATCCATGTCGTCGTCCGTCTCTTCATCACTTTGTGTTTGTGCGGCGTCGTGACGGTCACATGGTGGCGCTAAATTATACACTCGACTTCGGAATGTGTGTGTGTTTTACATCAGAGCAACAGTTGCTTGAAAATATGAACTGAGTGACTGTGGAATATTCAGCAGCGGAGTGTGTGTGTGTGTGTGTGCGTGTGTGTGTGTGTGTGCGCACCTGCTCAATTCATCAAGGAAAACATTTGTTTGTTTGATTAACAAATGCACCGCGGCGTCAAACCCATCAAATTGGGGGTAAATTACACCAAATACTGGGAGTGCATTTAATCAGAGGACGGTGTGTGTGTGTGTGTGTGTGTGTGTGTGTTGTTGGTTTTAGATATTTATAATATATTCAAGATTTATATTATATATTTATTGGCCATTTATATAAAACCCAACCAAAGCATTTAAGAAATTCAAGAATATTTATTTAAATTATTACTGAAATGTGATTTTATGCAAAAAAAAAACGTTCTCAAAGTTTAGCACAGAATGGTCAATAAATCAGGGACCAGGACTGTGTCAGATTTATGCTAACGCTGATTTGGATGAATGTTCATTTCTGTCTCTTTGACTCCGATCATCACCGTCTCACCGTCCTCTGTCGTCAAATGTCTCCGCGGTGGAGAAAGATCAACAGGTTGACAAACAGGAGGACACATGCTGTGGTGAAGTCACAGGTCAGGTTGGTCGTATCCAGCAGCAGGAAACTCACTGG